ATGAGATGACATATGTTCACTAAACTTATTGTGGTCATCATTTCATGATGTGTATAAGTAAAATCATTGTGCTATACAGCACAAAGTCAATTATACCTCAATAAAGCTGGAAGAAAAAAATTTTTAAATAACAAAATAAAACCAAAGTCACTTACAGATAACAACTTGTCACATCTCAGAATTCTCCCCCTAGTTTCCAAGGCCATGTTAGAATGTTTCCAAACTTTTCTCCTTAAGAGACTAAGTTATCAACCACATCAATAGAAAGATGGGAAAGGATGGGAAAAGGAAAATCCGGGCCCACAGAGTCCCTGACACATAGCAAATCTTGTTGGAAAAGCTCAGATGTACTGATTATTGGGAATTTAATATGCATTTTTTTCCCACAAGAATTCTGTCACCTGCTTAACCAGCTGACAGAGCTAACAAGAACCAAGTGCATATATACTGTGTGCCCAACTCTATGCTGAAGGCTGTACGTGTTTATCTCATGAATGTGAGCAGGGAATCTCTGCCTAGCTTGTACCGTTACTCCTGAATTCACAAATGATAACTAAGAGTGGAGGAGTTCAAGTGACTTCCCCAAGGTCATAAAGACAACAGCCAGCAGGACCTGCATTTGAACCTGGGCAACTAGGCCTCAGAGAGTGTGCTCTCAGGCATTCAGCACCATCACCATCCTCCAGAAGTAACAGTGGGGTCAAGCTTAATCCACTTTCTGAAACTCCCATGCAGAAAAGAGGGCTGAGTTCCAATCTGAGATGCCAAGGCCTCCCCTTCAGCCACTGTCTGAGGAGCAGGAAGGGGCTCCCTGGTGTCTGGAGGGATATGGTGTTAGCTCAGGGTCTCTCCGAAATGGGAACACAGCCTGACGATCCAGAGGGTTCCTTTCGGTATAAGTGAAACCAGAGGATATCTGTGCTGTGGACTGAACGCTTGTTTCCCTCCAAATTCATATGCTGAAGTCTGTGCCCAGTGTGATGGCATTTGGAGGTGGGGCTTTTGGGAGGAGGTTAGGTCCTGAGAGCAGAGCTCTCATGAAGGGGACTGGTGCCCTCATAAGGAGAGGCCCCCAGAGCTTGCTTCCTCCATCCTTGTTCTCTACCAGGGAGAGAAGATACTCATTTACCAATCAGACAGCAGGCCCTCACTAGACACCGCATCTGCCAGCACCTTGATCTTGGACTTTCCAACCTCCAGAACTGTGAGGAAGAAAGGTTTGTTCTTTAAACGACCCAATCTATGCTACTGTTAGAGCAGCCCAAACTGACTAAGACAACTTATGTCCTGTTTTCAAGAACCAGTCAGGGACACCATATGTTTCCAAATGAAGTTTCCATAACACAAATCACACCACAGTAACTCAGAGTGCTCAAAGCACCATTTGAGTTTAGTGACTTTTTAAAAAAATGTAAGTTCACTTTCATCACAAGAAGACCTTGCATTTATCTCCCTCAGGGCAATAATGAAACTAATCCATCCTCCAATAAACTTAGCCAATGATTAATAAGTTAGTGTCAGATAAAATCATCATAAATCAGAGACAGTGATGATAAAATAAAAACCCAAAGTTGTAATGCCACCTTACTCCTCTGAGGTCAAAGGCGAAGACATTTAGGGACTTCTCTGATGGTCCAGTGGCTTAGACACCACACACTGCAGGGGAAGTGTGTTTAAGCTCTGGTCAAGGAACTAAGAAGATCTTGCATACCTCACGGTGTGTCCAAAAATTAAAAAAAAAAAAGACATTTATTGACAGACTGATATGAAGGAATTATTATTATTTTTGGTCACATCATGCAACATGCAGGATCTTAGTTCCCCAACCAGGGATCAAACTTGTGCCCTGTGCTGTGGGAGCACAGTATTAACCACTGGACCGCCAGGGTAGTCCCAAAGGAATTATTACTGTTTGGCAGCTGGAGTGAGGGAGGTCTGTTGGCACCCACCAGGAACCAATAAGAACTGGGCCAAATTGGGTGACATTTTTTGATACACCCACTTTCATTCCGGGTCATTCAGCAATTTATCCAGACCCAAAAACACTGTGTTTGCAAATTCCATAAGCCTTGAGAGGTGCTGGGAACCTTAGAAACCATCCAAAAATCTAAACAAGTCCTTGAAGCCTCTCTTTCCTTCATCCTCCATTTCCAATCCAGCAGCAAATCTTGGCAGTCTACCTCCAAAATATTCTCTGAACCATACATTTTCACCCTAACACTGACCACTAACATCTGGTACCTCTGACTGGCTTCTTTGTTTTTTATGTTACCAGTTTTCTTTGTGACCAGACACATCCATTCTCTACGTGTAATCTAAATGATACAAGATCCCTGCTAGCTTACAGTCGCAGGGGTGCCTCCTACACCTAGAATAAGCGTCCCAATTATTTTTACCAGTCGTAGTAGTATCCTTGGGCTGCCTTAACAAAGTACCTCAAACTAGACAGATTAAAAGAACAGAAATTGGGACTTTCTTGGTGGTCCAGTGGCTATTCTCCATGCTCTCTATGCAGGGCATTGGGTTTGATCCCTCGTTAGGGAACTAGACCCCACATACCACAACTAAAGAGTTTGTATGCCACAACTAAGACTCAGTGCAGCCAAATAAATAAATAAATAAATAAATAAATAAATAAATATTTTTTAAAGAACAGAACAGAATTGACTCTCCCCCCATTCTGAAGTATGAAATCAGATGTCAGGAGGGCCATACTCCTCTCAAGGCTCTAGGAGAGAACCCTTCCTTGCCTCTTTCGGGTGGCTGCTGCTTGTGGCCATCTGTCTTTGGCATTCCTTTGCTTGCAGCTTCCTTACTCCAATTTCTGTCTGCCACTGTGTGAGTTCTCCCTGTGTCTCTGTCTTTACATGCATTTTCCTCCTATAAGGATAACAGTCAATTTTAATTAGGGCCCACTTTAATGACCTTATCTTCTGGGCTTCTCAGGTGGCGCAGTGGTAAAGAATCTGCCTGCCAGTGCAAGAGACGCAGGTTCAATCCCTGCGTCAGGAAGATCCCCTGGAGGAGGGCACAGCAACCGACTCCAGTATTCTTGCCTGGGAAATCCCACGGACAGAGGAGCTTGGTGAACTATAGTCCATGGGGTCACAAAAGAGTTGGACACCACTAAATGAGCACACAATGACCTCATCTTAGGTTGATTATAACTGCAAAGTGCCTATTTCCAAATAAAATCATATTCACAAGTACTGAGATTAAGAAATCAACATATCTCTCCAGGGGATACAATTCAACCCACAACACCAGTCCTACCCAGCCTACATGGTCTGGCCCTGCCTCTCATATCTCACATGTCCTGCCTTCTCACATCCTGGGTTCCCACCACACCCAGCCTTCTTCTCACCTACACATGCACCATGTTCAACCCGTCGTGCACTAGGTCAATTTCTGCCTGGATCCCTCTCTCTCTTTTGCGTGACTGGCTCCTACATATGATTCACTGTCAATGTCACACCTTCTAAAAGCTCTTCTCTAACCCACCCATGTAAAGTGTTTCAGAGAATCACATCACACCATCTCAATTCTCTATACAACACCTGTCACTCTGATACTGCCTGAAGCATTTGTTTACCTGTTGACTGTCTGTCTTCCGCCATTAGGATGTCAGTTCCATGTGGGTAGGGACAGTCTCTGTCTGATCCATTCCTGTGGCCCAGTGTCTAGAACAGTGTCTGGCATTGGGCTCTCAATAAATATGTATTGACTAAAGGAACGAGTAAATTCTTTAATTTATAGATGAGAAAATCAGGGAGCAATAAAATGATCACATGGGTATTTCCACTCAACTAGAATGTGGATGTCCCTCTAAGACAGGGATCAACAAACTTTTTCTGTAGGGGCCAGAGAGTAAATATTTTAGGTTCTGTGGGACATACAATCAGTTTCTCAGTCACTCAGCTCTGAGATTATAGCACTAAAGACAATCAGAGATAATATGTGACTGGATAAGCATTGCTATGTTCAAATAAGACCTTATTTGAACCGTAAGTTGAATTTCATATAATTTTCACACGTCACAAGTATCATTCTTCTTCTGATTTTTTTCAACCATTAAAAATGTAAAAATATATTTGCTGCTTGCAGGTCATACAAAAATATACAACAGTCTAGAAATGGCCCACAGGTTATAATTTTCCAACTATTGGTCTAACTTCATGCATATATATTGACAGACATGATAGACTGATTTAGGAAGGACAGTAGTAACAGCAGTTCATACTAAGCCCTGTACTTAGCACTAGAGCATAAGAGCATATACCTGATAAGGCATGCAAGGCATTGTCCCCAGTTAACAAGTAAGAAAAACTGAATCTCGGAGATATTAAGTTACTTACTCAAGATGACCTGTCCTTAGGGTTGGAACTCAGGCAGTCTGACTTGATTATGTTATACTTTGTTGCATAATAAAATGAGGTTAATAGCAAGGATGATATTAATAAGCTAAAAGTAAGAGCTAACTATTAGTAAATAATATGCCAGGAGCCATTTACAGCAATTTACATAGATATCAGTTCAGTTCAGTTCAGTCGCTCAGTTGTGACTGACTCTTTGCGACCCCATGGACTGCAGCATGCCAGGCCTCCCAGTCCATCACCAACTCCTAGAGTTTACTCAAACTCATGTCCATTGTGTTGGTGATGCCATCCAACCATCTCATCCTCTGTCGTCCCCTTCTCCTCCCTCCTTCAATCTTTCCCAGCATCAGGGTCTTTTCAAATGAGTCAGTTCTTCGAATCAGGTGGCCAAAGTATTGGAGTATATATGTAGATATACTGGCATTTATTCCTCACAGCAATTCTATGAGGCAAGAATTCCTATTATCCCCATCATACAGATGAGGAAATGACAGATGTGAGAGATCACTCAGCTTACACGTGGGAGAGCCCAGAATAAAACCCGGGCTACTGACTCCAAAGGCCTCCTCAGGTCCAAGGCTCTAAGCGCCTCCCCAGCAGTTGCAATCCCCACCCACCACTTACTGGCCACCTGCAGCCACACTTGGAACCTCCGGGTCTCAGTCTTGTTCAGGACCTCAGAGCAGGTGTAGTTCCCCTCATCCTGCAGGTTCAGCGCCTCGATGTGCAGGGAGCTGGCATTCACCAGAGAGAAGCGCGACTGGGCTGGTGGGAGGCTGGAATTGGAGGACAAGAGGAAGACGGACCCCGAGTCATTGCGGCACCAGGTCACGAGGCCCCTCGGTCCCGAGATGTTGCCACAGTGCAGGGTGATGTTCTCGTGAATTTCTCCAATGATGCCAGCCTCCAATCCTGTGCAAGGAAAGGTCAGGCTGTTACTATCTTTCTTGATCCTAGACAATCTCCTTTTCTTGCAGTCTCCCTGCATTAAGATTTAAAAAAAACAAAACAGGCATGTATTTTTGAGATGCAATAATACACAGAGCCCCACCCTGTTGGGATTATTGGCCAGTAATTGACAGTAATGAACTTGTGGTGGATCACAACTGCAAACAGTCCTAATCAGCCCCTCCTCCACTGTCTATGCCCTTCACAATGTCACTCCACAGCACCCTCCCACTCCTGACTCTGGTAGCACCATGTGACTTGCTCTGATCATTGGGGTGTTAACAAATGTGTTGCAAGCAGAGGTTTAAAAAGCACTGGTGTGATTGGGTTTGCTCACTCTCACCTTCTGCTACCACCTTGAGAAGGATGTGTCTGGGCTAGGTATCAGGGGAGGATGAAAACTACATGGTGCAGACCCCAGTTGTCTCAATCCTCTCAGCTATGGCCATTCTAGATCAGCCTTTGGCCACTCACTTGATGCCCAGACACATGAGTGAGCCCAGGCAAGATCAGCAGGGCCAACTGCCCAGTACCCCCAGGTCCTTCAGAAACAAGCACTTATGGTCATTTTGTGATGCTCTGTCACACAGATTATTGTGGCAATAAATAACTGATACAGAACCCTAGTGGCTTTACTTGCCTAGAAGTCCAGAAAGGTGGAAGGAAGAGGGTTCTGGCTTTGTTTCCTCTTTCCTGTGCTCTCTCTGACTCTCTCCATCTCAGGTACAATGCAACACCACTCAGCAGCTCCATGCAGGAATGGGCTCAGAGTGGGGACTTTGGGGCGTGCTCTGAGCTAGGTACTGGGGAGCCAATGACAGGCAAAATAGAGACCCGCAGGATCTCACAGTCTAGTGGAGAAAATAGGCAATAGGGACTTCCCTGGCAATCCAGTGGTTACAACTCCATGCTTTCACTGCAGGGGGAATGGGTTCGATCCCTAGTCAGGTAACTAGGATCTCATATGTCATGCAGCATGGCAAAAAACAAAAAAACAAAAAACCAGACAATAAACTGGCAATTAGGATGCAGTGTGATAAATAGCATGATAGGAGCTTGGAGAAGGGGCTCTTAAGTCTAGCTGTGGTTTTTGACAGGGAAGCCTTCCTCTAGGAAGCCACACTGAGATCTGATAGTCAGAAAAGAACTAGCTAGGCAGAGATGAAGCTGGTGTTCCCAGGCAGAATGAAAATTGCAGATCAGCAGCAGCACTGTCAGAAATTCATATTATCAAGTCCCACCCAGAACATCTAAATCAGAACCCAGGAGTGAGGTGGGAGGTAGCACTCTGCATTTTCACAAGCCTTCCAGGTAACCCTGATGCTCATTCAAGACTGACTAATGCTCAGGCAACTGATTTGGCATTAAGACTGCCACCAGGTAACAAGAAGCAAAAGCAGCCCATTTTGCTGAGAAAAGTCCTAATTTTTCAGCCCCCTCCACAATCAGCACCCATATACAAAGAGGTCACAGGCACAGAAATAATGGACAGAACCAGTCTTACTCATGCTGTCACATTAAATAGATGAGAAAACTGTGATGCAAAGAAGGGAAGTGGGCTGGCCTGAAGTCCTACCATGAGAAGGTAGCAGTATGTGACCAGAGTCTAGATTTCTTGCTCCATTCAGTGCTTTTTCCACCACATTGGAAGTTTTCAAAGTATGTGAATATTCTGGGGTTTTGTGAAAGGTGATATTTCATTACAAAATAAACTGCCCTCAACAGTGGTATTGGGAAAATTGGCTGTCCACACACGAAAGAATGAAGTTGGACCCCTTACCTCACATCACATATAAAAATCAACTCAAAATCAGGAGTTTCCTGGCAGTCCAGTGGTTAAGACACAGCCCTTTACTGCTATGGACTGGGTTCAATCCCTGGTTGGGAAACTAAGATTCTGCAAGCCAGGCAGAGAGGCCAAAAGAAAAGGAACTCAAAATAGACCACAGATCTATATGGTCTATTAAATACTTAGAAAACTATAAATTACTTAGGAAAAAAACCCCGAAAGAATGTACCTTTGTGACTTTGGATTAAGCCTGCAGGCACCCGAGAGCCCATGCTTCGCAACAAGAGAAGACACTGCAATAAGAAGCCTGCGCACTGCAACTAGAGAAAGCCCACACCAGCACAGCCAATAAATAAATAAATAAATAAATATTTTTTAAAAAGCACGCTGAAACAAGATGAATGGGAAACCATCCCAATAAACACATTTTGGATACAAAAAAATAAAGTGAAAAGAAGACCCACAAGCTGAGAGAAAATATTTGCAAATCACATCTGAGAAGAGATTTGTATGTGGAATATATATATATATATATATATATATATATAAACTCTCAAAGCTCAACAATAAGAAGACAATTTAAAAATGAGCAAAGGATTTAAATTGACATTTCTCCAAAAGATAGACAAAAGCCAATAAGCAAATGAAAAGCTCAACATTAGTCACTAGGGAAAATGCAAATCAAAACTACAATAAGATACCTAACACTTCACACTTGCTAGGATGGCTAAAATGAAAAAAAAAAAAAAAGGGCCGCAAAAAAGGAAAAAAATGGAAACCCTAAAAAATGGTAAGAAGAATTTTAAATGGTGCTGCTACATTGGAAAACAGTTTGATATTTCCTCGCAAGGTAAAGCTACCATATGACTCTACCCTAGCAATTATTACCCCGAGGTGTATAACCAAGAGAAATGAAAATTTGTCCACACAGAAACTTGTACATGCATGCTCACATTATTCATAGTAGCCAAAAGGTGGTAACAGCCTGAATGCCCATCAACTGATGAATGAATAAAATGTGGTATATCCATATAATGGGAATATTATTTGGTCATAAAAAAGGCCAAAAGCTATAGCATGGATGAATCTTGAAAACACTGTGTTAAGTCAAAGAAAGCAGTCATAAAAGACAGCGTATTTTGTGATTCCAATTGTATGAGATGTCCAAATAGGTAAACCTACAGAGAAGTCCAAACAGGTAAATCTATGGAGATAGAAAGTGGATCAGCTGTTGTCTAGGGCTGGGGAAGCGGCTTATCTGGGGGCAGGGGCATGTAGTGGGGAGTGACTTTTTAAAAACTTTATTTATTTATTTTTGGCCGGGTCTTCATTGCTGCACTTGGGCCTTCTCTAGCTGCGGTGAGCAGAGGCTACTGTCTAGTTGTGTTGCTTGGTCTTCTCATTGCAGTGGCTTCTCTCGTTGCAGAGCACGGGCTCCAGGTGCATGAGCTTCAGTAGTTGTGGTTCTTGGGCTCTCCTGCACAGGCTCAATAGTTGTGGTACACAGGCTTAGTTGCTCCGTGGTATGTATGATCTTCTCAGATCATGGATCAAACCTGCGTCTCCTGCACTGGCAGGCGGACTCTTTACCACTAAGCCCAGGAGAGACTCTTAATATTTAAGTAGAGGGCATCTTTTTGTTGTGATGAAAATGTTCTGGAACTAATGGTGATGGTTGCACAATCTTGTGAATATACTAAACACCACTGAATTGTACAGTTTAAAAGGGTAAAGTATATAGTATGCAAGTAAATTATATCTCAATTAGGTTGTTGTAAAAAAATTGTTACCTGCCTTCGGAACTCATTCCCTTTTATAAAACAAAGAGTAACCATTATCTGTATTTGGCCTTTTATCTGGTTGGAAGGGGCTACCTCTGAAAAATCACAAGACAGCTGAAGCTCCAGGATGTTCTCACACTCTCCCATTGTGGCTACACCATTCCCCGACGCCAGGGTAAAATGATAAAAAAAAAAAAAAACTAACCACTTGTTGGAAGGCGGAGAATGTGACCTAATGCTGGAGATTCCAAAACAGCAAGAAACGCTTCTAAACAATCACTTTAAAAAAACAAGTGAGAATTATTTTTAAATAGTGAGGCCTGGGAACCCAAGTTCTCAGTGGCAATCTCCATTGAGGAGAAAAAAACTGGAGAATTATAGATGCAACAATGTGTTCGTGAGACTAAAGACCTGCCCTTCCCAGGCTCCTTGGCAAAGGAATTAAAAAAAGCCTTGGAAAAGCCCCAGTGAAACTTTAGTCTTGGAACTTGAGCTAACACTGTCTTTTCCTCCAAGGAATAGAATGACATAACGACAAACTACACCACTTTAAGGCATTTCACTTCTCCTGACTTTGCTCACTCCATTCTTTTTCAACACTGATGCTGAAGGTGACCTTAGAGATCCCTCAGTCCTGAGGGCTGAGTTCAGGACAGGCTGAGTCAGGGCTTGGTAGGGAAGAACACAGTCATCAACTAGTGATGTCTGATAGGGAGAAGGAATGGGTGGTCCTTGAGGGTGCACTGGTACCATGCTTGATCATCCTAAACCTCCTCATGTCACAGCTGAGAAAACTTAAGTCCAGAAAGCTTAAGTAATTTACTTAAGCTCCCACAAAAGCCACTGGGAGAGCTGGGACTGTCACTCAGGTCTTCGATGTGCCAGGTCACAGGAATTTACTCGGTCTCCCAACCAGAAGAGTGAGACATTCTGTGTTACTGAAAGTGGCCCATAAGGTGTCCAGAGGGCCCCTGAAGTCCCCCAACCTTAAATTCAGAATATGGACTGGAGGGGTGGGATGGGAGGGGTGGTAGGGAGGCTCAAGAGGAAGGGATAGATGTACAAATATACAGCTGATTCACAATGTTGTACTGTAGAAACTAACAGCTACATCCAATTAAAAGAAGAAAAATATGGACCAAAGGAAGGAACAATATAAACAACTCTTTTCCAAAGCAGCCATCATATTAACATTTACAGAGTTGAGACTATATCAAAGTTATTTTTTTTTCCTATTCTTTCCTCAAGAATGACCCCTGATTCACAACCTGAGGTGACTGGGGTCTTGAACACTGTCTGGAGTTAAGTGATAGGAGAAAGATGGTTTTCTCCCCAACTCCCAGCTTGAAGAACAAAAATACATTAAGCAAGGGAAGCCTTCTGGCACTGTACACAAAGATGAACTTGATCTGGGCATCAGAATAACTGGGCACGGTAGTGCAGGAAACATCCTTGTGTGGAGAGCTGCAGCCAGTTCATCCCACAATGATGATTTCAACCCAGGGTTCTGATGTCCCCAGGCCCTTGATATTCACAGTACAGTAAACACTGCAGACAGCTGGGGAGTAGGGAATACACAATCACCTTTAACTTTGAGGGTCAGCCAACTGGAGATGGTATATCCACTTCTCCCCGAAGCCCAGTGACCACCCCTACATATGCCTGGAGGTGCCAGCCTTGTCATGTCTACAAATTTGAAATCACCTATCCTAGAAGAAAATGGGTGACCACAACTCAGTTCCACTTGGGAAAGCAGGTCCGGTGTGGCAAGAGCCTCAGACTTTCCCACCTAAACTAGAAATCTAGCTTATGAGGAATTTTATTGTTTTTAAATAATTGCTAAAAACAAAGCAAAATAAAAACTTGTGACAGCCTCACAATTAGGAACTTCTGGCACTTGCTGCTAGGCAATGGCACCCCACTCCAGTACTCTTGCCTGGAAAATCCCATGGATGGAGGAGCCTGGTAGGCTGTGGTCCATGGGGTCGCGCGCCAAGAGTTGGACACAACTGAGCGACTTCACTTTCACTTTTCACTTTCATGCTTTGAAGAAGGAAGGAAATGGCAACCCATTCCAGTGTTCTTGCCTGGAGAATCCCAGAGATGGGGGAGCCTGGTGGGCTGCCGTCTATGGGTCGCACAGAGTCGGACATGACTGAAGTGACTTAGCAGCAGCAGCAGCTAGGAAGCTCACAAGGGGCAATGCCTCTAGACACCTACAAGAGATCAGCAGACCACACTGGACTGGGTGACCCCTGAAAATAGGACTTTGTAAGTATTCTGGCAAACTCCATCTCCTTTCCCTCATCTCAGGTCCTCTCACTGCTTGTCACACTACCCTGCATGCAAAAGACATGCATTCGCTGGTGAATTAAGTTCAGAAACATTGTTTTCAACCTTTTTAAAATTATGTATGTTTTTGTAAGGGCTTCCCTGGTGGCTCAGTAGTAAAGAACCTGCTAGCCAATGCAGGAGGCATGGGTTTGATCCCTGCGTCAGGGAGATCCCCTGGAGAAGAAACTGGCAACCCATTCCAGTATTCTTGCCTGGGAAACCCCAAGGACAGAAGAGCATGGCAAGTTACAGTCTATGGGGTCGCAGAAGAGTCAGACAGGATTTAGCGACAAGACAACAGCAACAACAAAATGTTTTTGTAAGCAACCCTCTGTTCTTTATTGCTCCAAAGCAGATCACAGATGGAGCAGGTAAGACTCTTCGCCAATCATATCAAGAGTAAGAGGCAATGTCAAGTGTAGGGGAAGTTTCTTATAAGTTTGAAATTATTTCAAAATAAAAGTTTTTCGTTTCTTTTAAGTAAAGGAGAAAAGCAGGATTTTGCCATAGTCCACACAGGTCGGCTTGCGGGGGTGTGCAGGGAAACCACAGGTTACAGGTGCAAGGCGAGTTCAACCTCGGGGAGAGGGAGAAGAGGAAACTAAAGCAGCCTCGAGTTTGAGAACCAGCGCAGCATGTAAAACCAGACCGCGAATTTACATACGCCTTTTAAAAAAAGATAATAAAAATAAACATTCCACACCTCTTCAACTTTTCCATCTTCAGTTTCCCCAATTTTCACCTCCGCAGGCCCTTTGCAGCCTCGCCTGCTGCCCACTCTAAGAGGGTAGGGATGTCTTGCCCTTTATCAAGCGCTCGGTAAAATTCCTTCCTGCAAAAAGCTGAGCTGCGAGCAGGAAAGCCAAGACCCTCCCAGGGCGACTTCGAGGCCTCGGCCACGACTGGATCCAGGGAGTCGGAGGGAATTCGGTCCCCGGCTCTCCCCTTCCCACCTTTGCCTCGCATCAACTTTTGCCTCCAGATCGTCGCCCCTTACCTGTGGCGACCCAGCGGGCCAGTAGCGCTCCGAAGCAGACGAGAACCCAGGACTCAGACGCCCGGACGCCTGCGGCCATCTCGCCCCAGATGCGGGCAGGGGCCCTTCGGAAAAAGCAAGGTCCGGCTTGGCTGAGTGTGCGCCCCCAAGGGCTCAGCCCCAGGGGTACCCAGTACTCCTCCCAGGTCCTCGGAACGACAGAGTAGCTCCACTTTCCGCAGCCCCCCAGGAAGGATGCTTGGGGTGAGCCCGATGTCAGGGGCTAGGAGCTGCACTAGGCTCCAAGCGCGACTGTCTCTCCCGAGCGCCCGGCCCGGGGTGGGAGGGCGCACCCCGCCCCCTGCGCCCGCCACCCGCTCCCGCAGACGGAAAACAACAGGAGCTGAGTTCCCTCCCGCCTCCCATCCAGGCGGGAGCCCAACTTCCTCTACCTTGGCCGAGGAGGAGGGCTTTATGCAAAGGGCGCGCGCCCGGGCGCGCCGAGTCGGGTCTGGGCAGGCCGGGGGCGGAGCGCCGAGGCTGGTCACTCCCCGAGCCCACTCGCCCGGGACAGCGGCCCCGAGTCGCGGGGAAAGTGGGCGGCGCAGAGCCCTGCAGCTGCCGCAGGACGGCATCCCCCCTCGACCCGCCGGCTGCTCCCTCCCGGGCGCCCGGGCTGCGGCACTCGAAGGACCGTCTCGGCTCGGAGGGGCCGTTGCCAAGCTGCAGAATTCACGGTCCCCTCGGTTTAGCTGTTCTAGGGATTCCCAATTGTTTTCCTGTGCCCCCGGGCGGACTCCTGAGCCGCCATCGCTGCCTTTCTCTACCCTTTGCAGAAGCAAGGCAGGTCTGGAGCAGGAGAAAGATGATCCTTTAGACCTTCCAGCCGAGCTGCCACGAGACTCTGGTCCTCCGGCTAACTGGCAGAGACCACACAGTAGGCGCGAGGGCGGCGGAACTGGGTGCTGGGAGCTTTTTTGTTTTTTCTAGTTCCCCCATCCCCCATCCAGTCTGGTTCCCAGAGAACTGCATTCCCAAGCTAAAATCCCCCTCTTCCTGCCACACCCCCCAACCCATCCTCTGTCCTAGGGAAAATGCGGTTATGACATCCTGAGGAAGAGATGATCCTTGAAACAGCCCTACCAGAAACTTACTCTAAACAAAACAAAACAAACAAACAAAAAACTGCAGCTAAGATAGTGAAATATTAACTGTGGACTCTAGGAGGTGAATATATGAGAGTTCCCATTCTTTCAACTTTTCTGTCTTTGAAAATTTCCCCATCACCTCATTGTAAAATGTTGGGGAAAAAACAGAAAACAATGCTATAAGAAAATAATTCATTCTGTTGCCGGAAGACCCCTTATTGAAATACTTCTTCCATCAGGAAATCCTCTTGAAACCAATAAAAATGTGTTTTGCCCATGACCTGAGACATAAAGTTACACAGTCCCTTCCCCCCCCACCCCCCACCCCCGCTTTTGAAATGATTTTATGTCTTCAGCCATCTCCTGAAAGTTTTCCTCGTTCCTCTCCTCCTTTTGTCTTTGTTTTTCTTCTTTTACTTGGTGATGGAAAGTAAAGTCTATCCTGGATGCACAGGTCCTGTATTCCTAGCGCCTGGTACCTCAGGTACCACCCAATGTATATTTGTAAAATAAACAAATGAGAGATCATTGGTTTTGATATTACATCTCCTCAGACTTTTCTGACAGACATCTCACAGCCTCGCCTGAAGTTAACAAGATATGAGTAAAACCAATACGGGGCAAGTTTTTCAGCTGAGGGTCTGGAATTTTCTGTGACCCTAGTGGTGCTTCACAGGGAACTTGCTCAGAGCACGCCCTCTTGGTATATTTGCAGAATCAAACACACTGCTCTTACACCCAGTTCACCACTCCTAGAAGAATCAACCTCCTACACAATGTTTTACAACAGTGATTATAGCACCTCACATTTGCATAGCTGGGGCTTTTTTCTAAAGCAGTTTTAGAAACTTAATCTCACTGGTCCCTCCCTCCAACCCTTGGACCTAAAAATCATTCAATCCCATTTTCCAGTGAGGAAGTACAGCTCGGAGGTTAAGCTCCAGGGCCTGAAGCTGGTTGGCAGTAAAGCCAGGACTGGAACCCATGTCTATCTGACTCCAATTCCTGCCAAAGCAAGTTCCAACCTTGTCACTTATATAGAGTCTTGTCGACTTGAAAGAAAAATGCACAATGTGCAAGTTGTGAGTTAAGTTGTATGCCAAAACCTTACCAAGGATCACAACCATAGAGACAGTCTCTCAAATAGCACAGAGAAACCACTTGAAGAGGTAAGGGATGAGCCAGGTTATATATAAACTTTCTTGCTGGGAAAAACAAGTAGTCAGACTTCAAAAGATTACTGCCAATAATGAAAAACAGACAGATCAAATTAACAATTTTAATGTTTTTCGGTGTATGAAAAGATGCAAGAATTTGAGGTTATTTGAAAATTTTCCTTAGATATGCATCTTTAAAACATTTTTTTTTTGGCTGCTTTGGGTCTTAGTTGTATCATGCGGAATCTTTCCTTAGGGTGCACAGACTCTCTCTCTAGTTGTGGCAGGCTCGAGGGCTTAGTTATTCCACAGCATGTGGGATCTTAGTTCCCTGATCAGGGATCGAACCCACATCCTCTGCATTGCAAGGCAGATCCTTAACCACTGGACCACAAGGGAAGTCCCTAGATATGCATTTTAACTATTTAAGGGGCTGTATATCCAAAGCACAGAATGTTTCCTGCTTTTTTTTCCCATCCTGAATTTCCTGGAGGGTGCACTGTCATGGGCCACTGTAGTAGCTAATGGCTTGATCCTCGTAGAACTGGAATGGCAGGCGATAATTGTTTCTTTACACTCTGGATGTTTTGGGTGTCACCAGGCCAACAGACATGGGCATTCCCCTAAGAAAGGCTCAAAGGAAGCCTCTAGACCACTCAGAGCTGGGACAGAGCTGGTGCAATTAACACCCACTCTCTCTGGTTTGAGCAAGGCTGTGACTGACTCTGAGAGAGGACCTGTTAGGAAACACCCTGCCCTAACATCCGGTTGTGTTCCAGGCCACTCTGGACAGTAGAAAATGCCCTACCAGAACAATGATGTTGGGGGTGAGTTGGGGGTTCACTATGGGTTCTCTAGCAAGATAGGAGTCTTTCAAAGCCCTAGTTTCACTATCTGTACCTTATAGTCAATGTTTATTGCATTTGCCTATGTGCTCAGTTGTGTCTGACTCTTTGTGACCCTATGAACTGTAGCCCCCCCAGGCTCCTATGTCCGTGTGATTCTCTAGGCAAGAATACTGGAGTGGGTTGCCATTTCTTCTTCTGGGGATATTCCTGACCCAGGGATCAAACCTGCATCTCCTGCAATGCAGGCAAATTCTTTGCCACTGAACCACCTGGGAAGCTCCATGGTCAAATGTTTACATCATGAGACCGTCACGAAAATAAAGTGAAGGATTCAGTCTTCAAGGTCTAGGGTTTCTATTTGAGATGCACCCTGTCAGAACCTGTCAGGACTTTTAAATCACACAATTGGATATTAAACATGAGGCTCAAACACCTCTCAGCTCAGGCTGCTATGCATGGCTACTTTTGTTTTCTTTCATTTTCACCTCCTAAGAATTGAAAAAACTCTCTCTATGCTAAGGTGCTTTGTGTCCATTCATTGAATCTTTAGCACAACCCTAAGAGGTTGGCATTAAAATTTCCAATTGGTAGATGTCTCAGAGCAACCAATTTACATCTCAAGTTAAAGGGGGAATCTGGATTTGAACACATATCTGAGGCAGTGTCATCTTGATCAGTCTTGGTGGAAGGACTGTGCTGGAGCTCCTGCCTGACTCCAGAGCCAACAGTCTTTGAAGCATCCTGGGTCTCTGAAGCCATCCAGCCAACTATTATTTCTGCCCCACTACTCCTCTTGCCAAGTCCCCTCCCTAGAGGTAACACTGAAAGGTTTCTTAGCAACAACCTGCTTTTCTGTTTAACCTCTTGGGGGCTCAGAAAGGATGGGCCAGTCAGGAACAGCTTGAGTAGCAGCCTGACCCTGGGGTCTGGCTCTGAACCCCTTGCTTCAAGAAGTACTAAAAGGCGGATGACAATATCCTACCAGTCCCCTGAGAAAGGGTTAACCAGGGACTGACAAGAGATGGAAGACTCACTCATCCTAAGGGGTGAAAGGAGCCCAGTCACGTGCTGGTGAATGCAGAATCACTCCTGGCAGTGAGAAGAGAGTATAGTGTCTGTCAGTTTCCATAGTGTAAATATTTCCACAACAGCCAATTACAGGTTATCCCTGTGAAGTTACTGAGCGATAAGCACAGTCAGCTCTCCCAAACCTGTACCACTGGAACTTTGTCCCTATGAGACGACTCCAAGGTGGGAAACTTGCCAGGATTACCCAGGAGGAGAACTCCTGGGAGCCAGCTGTATCAGATGACTCAGGTGAATACATTCTCCCATCAAACTCCTGTTGTCAGGAGTTCCCTGGTGGTCCAGTGGTTAGGACTGCCACCCTCATTGCTGAGGTCATGGGTTCAATCCCTGGTTGGGGAACTAAGATCCTGAATGTGTGTGACCAAAGGAAAACAAACAAAAAAGTCCTATTCTCTGCTCTCACACTCACCTATTTTTTTTTAAATTTATTTGTTTATTTATTTGGCTGCACCTGGTCTTAGTTGCAGCACTCAGAATCTGTGATCTTCGGTGTGGCATGCGAACTCTTGGTTATGGCATGTGGGCTCTAGTTCCTTGACCAGGAATTAAACCCAAACCCCCTGCATTGGAAGTATGGAATCTTAGCCACTGGACCACCAGGAAATTCCTTTACCCTCACCTATTGAGTGCATCTGTTGGCCAACATAACTGTTATCTTCCTAACTCCAAATCAGGACATATGGATTGACAATCACAAATGTATTGAATCCATGGGAACAGAAAAAACTGGCAAACTCAAGGTACCCTGAAGCATTTCCCCAAACTTGTCTGTTTTTTAAATAGCTTTTGCTATGTTCCTGATTATCAACATAGGCATGTTATGCTCATTCTAGAATAATGGGGGGGAAAGAAAAAATAAAATGTAACCATAGTCACCTAGAAGTAATCACCATCATCACTAGAAACTTCTAGTCTTTTCTGCTGAGTTCCAATATATGATTTTTTAAATGCAAAGTTGTGATGACATTTTACAGGGAATTTTCATTCCTGCTTTCTTCCCTTAATTCTATATTAAAAGTAGACTTTGTGTGTTTTTGATAACTAATTTTTTTAAACTGGAAATGAATAAAATGCTAGTGGCTTAAAAAAAAAAAGGCCAGAT